CATTTTTGCAGGCATTTGAAGGAGCATTAATGAGATTGACATTGGATAAACGAAAGTGCCATAAATTTGAGGAGTTGATATTGGACACATGACAACTTCAGATAAGATGATTTCAAACTTTTTAGATATATAGCCTACCTTTTGAGTTGCCCCTACTGAGGGAGGTCTAATTTTTCAAAGATGAAGATTTGAGTTACTTCTGGAAGATTATATAGAGTTATTCAGATGTTAGATTCAGTTTAGTAGTGTACCCACCATCAGATGTCTAGATAGAAGGGACAAACCACAATTTTGAAAATTTTCTTTGGAGTGCGATGAGGAAAAAAATTCTTCAATGGAATCCAGGTCCTATCAGTGAAGAAGAAAAAATCTTTCCTGAGTGATTATTAGTGAGAGTGGCATTGCTTGGCATAAATTTCATCATAGAGTTGATTTCACCTCACATACTTGTTTATTAGCTACATTCCACTGAGTACAAGACGTAGAAAAAGAAGGTTTCAGACTTAAGGACTCGAGAGCTACATTGTGGGAATGTTTATCTATATGCAACTCCAGCTCAAATTATGTAAAAAAGATGATAAATACTTATTCTATTAGGATGTGTTTTGAAATGAAAACGCTTACATGGTTGACTTACCAGGACATTACATCATTTCCATTATCTGCAACCGGGCCGATCCGACGCTATACTATGAGGAGAAGGAAGTTTCGACGGATAAGGTCGAAGCTGTCCCAAACTTGGGAGTACGATGTGGAGCGGGACATTTTCCCATGAACGTGCCTTGATACAGGAATTCATGTGTGTGGGCGCTCCTATACCCGGCGCCATACCCGTGCGGGCACGACAAATGCTACATGTCGACCAGCTCGGTCCAGGTGGTAGAAGGATTGAGCAGTCCTTGCGCACGATTCCCTCTTATTTGGAGCAGGGGGCCCACTCCTCTTTACCCTAATATTATATATGTGTGTGCGTGTGCGTGTGTTATTTGTTGTGTTTAAGGTCAGTTTTTGGCATGAGTTTGTGTAGGACATCCATTGGCGTCTGTTTCTTTCTTCGAGGGTTGTATCGAGGGATTGAGTGGTGCACCAACTGCATTTCTCTCGTGAAATGGTGATTTTCTTCTCCTATCTCCTTCCACATCCTCCCACATCGCTTCTAGCCTTCCCTTCGCAGCTGTCGCCATCTGAAATATCCTCTTTTGATTGTTCTTTGCAATTTCTGCTTTCTAGTCGCCTTCCCCGCCTCTTGGTTGTTGTTCCAGCCACTCATATCTAGTTCCCTTGCGGTCTCGCTGCTGTTCCGGCCACGAGAAGCACCCCTTTGCAGCTTTGGCTGCTGTTCCAGCCATTCTGAACCACTTCAACACCACCTAGTCACTGTCCCAAACCCTCCTACGTACTGCCATCACTGTTCCAATCCTCCATACCAGCTGTCATCGTAGTTCCAACTCTGCTACTGCTGCTATTCTAGCCCTCCCCCTTCTCTGCCATCATCCCAGACAGCCGTGCGACGTCTATATATGCTGCGTACTTATTGTATGGAATCCAAAAAAATGTTGTCTTACTGTTTTCTACTTGCCAACCATCTCGTCCACCATCTCACTTCCTTTCACTCCTCTTTGGTTACCATCACCACCACGAGATCCACCTTAGTTTGCGTTGGATTGTTGAGTTTGTTATTATTTTTTTTCCAAGTGCGTCAGTTGTAATCACCTATTGACTTTATGAGTAATAATATTTGTTTGCCTATTGTTGTTTGCGTGAACTCCGGTATCAAAATTTTTAATGATTATCTCTGATGAAAGTGGTATAAACGTAAAATTTATTTGAAGTATAACTAGGTCTGAGGGGTGTTTTTGGGTTGAGTCTAAGGTTAGAAACTGAAGGTGAAAAGCTAGTCACATTAAAGCTGAATAAGTTTGAAAGCAGAGCTTATTCCTACCACTTGCTCAAAGCAACACTAGTTCCTTGACTTAATTTAATTTAAGTCCTTGGAAGGAGGTAAGGTCCATAAAAATTCAAGTGAAGAAGAATAATGAGAGGTTGAAGTTAAAAATTTAGATCAAGCCTGCGTCTTTGGTGGGGGAATTTTGAGCTATATTTAAAAAAATTGGTAAAGTTTTTTTTTTTTGAGTAAATAAAGCATGAAGCGAATAAGTAGAAAGACAAGCAAGGATATACTTAATTTTAGAGCTCGTGGCAAAGCGTTTCTGTTTGAGGAATATTACCCTGACACTCGAGTGGTATTTCGTGGCTTGCTCAAGCTAGAAAAAGGAGGCACTCAAATTGAAGAAGCATGTGCTTTGCCAGCTACATGGTCAATGTTAGCTGAAAGTTCAAAACACATCATTCCAAAGACTTATTCGCTCTACTTATTACAAAAAAATAGATCTATTTCCTCTCAATTTGAGAATAAGTTTAGGCCAAGCTAGTTGATACACACTTTTGTATGAAATAGTTGATGTAGGTTGCAGGCCAAACTCATCGAAATAACCTTTGGAAGTTGTCCTTGCACTTCAACCTTACTTTCTAATTGGGAAATTGTGTAGAAGGATCCTCCATGTTTTCCAACCATCCGCTTTTTACTTTTTTGGAAGCGGAGAGAATGATTCCCAATATTTTCAAACATCTATCATGCTCCTTTTTGTGGATAAGAGGAGGAGAAAAAGCCCAAGAAAAGAAAAAGCCCAAGAAAAGCTTGAATTATGAAGGTTTACATTGGAGTCTAAAGGCCTTCATTTGAGTAGAACTAAAACTGAATATATGAAATGTAATTTTAGTAGTAGTGGCTCTCAGAAGTGTAATTTTGGGTGATCAAATTATTAGAAGGCGTGAATGATTTATATTTCTTGGGTCTGTTGTTCAAAGCGATGGTGATATAGATGGGGATGTTAATAGTAGAATTCAAGCTGGTTGGTTGAAGTGGAGGAATGCTTCGGGTCTTTTGTGTGATAGAAAAGTAACGCTTAGATTGAAAGGAAAATTTTATAAGACGATGGTGAGACCTGCAATACTTCATGACGCTGAATGTTGGCCTTTAAAAGAGAAGTATAATTCTAAGTTAAGTGCTGCAGAGATGAGAATAATTAGGTGGATGAGTGGCTTTACACTTAGAGACAAAATGCGAAATAAATATATCTGTGATAGGGTTGGTGTAGCTCCTGTGACGGACAAAATTAGAGAAATTCATTTTAGATGTTTTGGTCACATTAAGCGTCAACCATCTGATGATCTAATTAGGAGAGTAGATGTTTTTGATTCGACTTATGTTAAGAAAGGCAGAGGTATACCTAGGAAGACTTGGTCTTATTGTATAAAAAATGATCTTAATTTAATAGAACTAAAAGAAAATATGACACTAAAATAGGATGCAATGGAGAAAATGGATTCATATAGCCGACCCCACGTAGTGGGATTAAGGCTTTGTTGTTGTTGTTGTTGTTTTTGTTGTTGTATCATGCTCCTTTTGTTAGGCGCTTAACTTAGTAATCATGCCTTTTTATCTTTGGAGAATATTTGATTGATTCATTAAAGTGCTCCCTCCGCTAATTTATTCACTGATTGCTCTGATAGGATTTATGCTCTTTGTTTTTATAACTTTTTCATGAGAGCAATAGATCCTAACTATTGCATTTGTAGAACATTGTTAGGTACAATAAAGCTTTTATTGCTCCAATCGGACAACTTATTAAGCATCTTCTGAGCAACGATGAGTTCTTAGTAGTTAGGTGATCAAAATATCTGTCAAGCAAGGAGAACGCCTTTATGATGGCTTTCCCTAATTGCAATTAAATAAGTGGAAGTTCTTTTAGTTGAAACAAGACATGTTTAATCTCCAATATTTTTCATGAACTTTGCATGAGCTTTATTTTGCCTCCAAATCGACATATCTAAAGAAAAGAAAATGAGCTGAACATTCAACTAATAAACACAGTAATACTTTCTTTTTTAAAGAAAATCTTTGTTCTTATAAAAAGTACCATGGTTTTAGAGGAGGTGAAAAGCGGAGAAAAAGAACCACACATCCAAGGCAAAAGAAAAATAAGCTTACAAAGGAATAAAGGATGGAACAATGTTTTGCCACGTCAGTAGGTCAATAATTTGATGTTATTTATCACGACGCTATATATATGAATGCCTATAGTGATTTGGGATCAAGAACTTTATAGAACTTTATTTTAATTTCAAAGAAACTTTATTTTAATTTCAAAGAGGATGGGTAGACCGTAGTATGCTTTTTATTGAGCCGATTTTGTTGGAACTTAATTTATTGATTCTCTTCCATCTATTAGGAAACCAAGTTTGAGAAAAAAAATTATTCCTTAGATCCCTAGTATCTGAGCTGCTTTCTTGGCCAACCTTGAACTTGGCCTGACACCATGTTTTTTTATATTCCCATTTTCAATGCGAATTTCAGTGTTGGATGATTCTTTTATAACTTTGTTTTTGGGTCCGATTTTTTCATGTCAACAGAATCATATGATTCTAAATTGTTTTAAACGAAATTGGGAATCCTAAAAAAATAAGCTATTCTAAGCTTTTCCAAATTTCCCCTAACACAATAACTCCTATGCATATTAATTCAATCCTTGAAAATGAGCTATCCATGCTAACATAAGAAAGAAAAAAAGCCCTAAAATGCCTAAAATGGTTTTTGGAAGACAGAGAGTTTTGATTCGATGATAATGCGTCCAAATCACTGCCTTTGTATTGTCATTCTATATATATATATATATATATATATATATATTTTTATTTATTTATATATATTTATAATCTTTTGACATATTTTAGTCCCATAAAAGTAGGACAACTGTCAGGAAAATGTCTATTATTAAAAAGTATTTTTTCCATGCTTTTTTGAGGTGTGCTATACATTTTGATGCTCTCAAGTTTATTGATATATTTGCAGGTACAATATTGAGAAAATAGACCATTTTTTGTTATTAGTCTCTAGGTTGAAATAGCTGCAGTACTAATCTTTCAATGACATTTTGCAGAAGTTCTTGTTGAAGACAAGTCCTTAACAGTACTTTATCAAGATGGGGAATCCGTCACATTAATGGAGTAAGCTAATTTGTAGTATTTTTCCAGCTACAATGTATGCATAATTTTGTCTTACGTAAGTTCTTATTGATATGAACTTTAAAATTTTGTCCTAGCCCAAGCACATTTGAGCAACTTGAAGTGCCCAAGGATTTGTTTGGAAAAAATTCTAGTTATTTAAAAGGTAAATAAATGTTATCTTACATTATTTAGCGGCAACAGTTTTTTATTGCTTAAAATGTAATGGAAAAGAAATTCTGCTTATTGCTATGTAAATTTATATTTTACAACTGACATAAGTTTAGTAAAAAAAACAAATGGCATGAGCTTCCGCATCGAAGAACTTCGACTGGCTAGTGCAAACTTTGTGAATTTCACAAGCTGTGAGCTTTAGACTAGACACTTAGAGAGAAGTTTGATGACTCCGATATCAAGAAGAAAATTTTAAACAGAGGGCATCTTGGGTGATTGGAGTTTGCTGTGGTCATGATGAATGAACATTGGACGACAAGAAAATTTTGTGATGACTAAATAAAATAGTAAATTACATTTGGATCCCTGAGGATAAGTGATAGTGTATTATTGGTTCTTATTTTAAAAACAAAAAAAATTGGTCCTTTTGGTTGATTACACACTTCATCAGAGTCCTTCTGTGACAAATCTGTTGCGATTCTTCAGATTCTTAAACTGGCCTTAACTTATAAGAGGAGCTAGAGTATATTGTTGATATGAAATATCAGAGTTCATGGCTAGAACTCACCCCCACACTTCATATCCTATTGTCTCCAACAAACATGTGGGCAGTTTTTTGTGCTCTGTTATAGGGAAAAGAAAGGAGACAAGCTTGTCAGTTGGGCCAAGTTTCGTATTTAACATGTGTGTGCTTTGTTTATAGCTTCTTCCAAGTTTTTCTTTCCATAGTTTCAAGAAATAATTTTATTGCATTGTCTAAGGTTTTGCATTATGTTTGTGCAACTTAATATACTTATTTGCTTTATCATTTCTTGTTGGATTCTTCGGCTTTTCCCATGTGATTTTTTTTTTATTTTTAAAGAACAGATCCTATGTGCTCAACATTACTTCTGCACAATTTTTGATTTATATTGTATTTATTTTGATTCTTTTAAGGTGGAAAACTGAGAATGTGATGAATAATTAGTTTTGAGAGAAAATATTTCTGTTTAAAATTTAAGTAGGTAATTAAACTTCAATTAATTTGCTATTTGGCTCTTTTGATTATGTATATTTACCTTTCACATCATCTGTGTTTGGCCTTTCATCTCTTTGAGTTTATTTACCTCCTTGCCGTCAGAATTTTTTTTTTTGCTGCCATCAACCAACCATTGAGCTCTACATGGGGCAGGCGGGAAGGAATTTTGTCCGCCTTCTCAGTAGTGCCACCTATGCCACTATGCGTCAACAATTCTTTGCCATCGCCGAAGACCTTTGTGCCACCCTTTTGATCATCCTCTTCTGAAATTACTACATTATTTGCATTAGTGTGGAACATATCAATCCCACCTCTTAGTCTTTGCCTCTCTGCCTCATTATCACCCTTCTCGATCATGGTCTCCCCTCCCCTCCTATCTTGCCACTCCTCGTCGTCATCCTCTCCCTCTATAAAATTGAATGACCTTGGAATAGAGTGAATGTATCATAAAGAATGGATTTTTAAAACTTGTCACTTGTTTAATTAAGGGTTATGTATGTGGTCCCTTGATCCCACTTATTAGGTGAAAAGAAAATTTTTGGTCTTTTTTAGTTGGAAAGCCCATTATTGTTTTAGGAGAACCAAATACAATGTTAATAGTACAACATATATAGTTCTCTAAATTATAAATAAATAACTTTAATAAAATGATATGGTAATGCTAATACTCCTTTTCAAGATGGCTGACACATTTCAAGGAGCTCTAGTTTGTTATATTCTTTTGAAAAATTGAAGTGGATCCAAAGGCTTGACAAATTTACTTGTTTGTTATTATAAGTAGGAAACATAAGGAGTAATGATCTTTTTTGACACCACTGCATGCCAAATGAAGTGATGATTAATCTCAATATATTTTTTTCTTTTAATGAACACATGATTACTGACAATGAATATAACAACTCTATTTTAATGATTTCTGAGCTCGTTATAGAGGAAGATGTTATACTCAAATTAGTATGTAGTAATGGCCGACCTTTTTCATTTTCTATTTTCTATCTTCTATGACTTATATGTAGTAATAATTTGATGTTATTTATTACGAAGCTACATATATGAATGCCTATAGTGATTTGGAATCGAGAACTTTATTTTAATTAGAACTTTATTTTAATTTCAAAGAAAGAGGATGGGTAGACCGTAGTATGCTTTTTATTGAGCCTATTAATATGTAGTAAGGCCAACCTTGATTGATTGTGAAATACAAAAAAAAATATATGAATTTGAGTGTGGCAACTTGGGATAAGGTGTCAAAATAATTAATCCAATAAGAGTTGAGTAAAATCTTTTGTATCAAGGCTAGTCTTTTATCTATCGATGTAGGAATTATTTGATTACAGGAGGGGTAAAATTTATTTCTACTGGAGATCCTATATTGCTTTCTACTATATTTTGAGAATAGAGCTGTAACAAAGACAATATAAATTGATAAAAGTTAGAGAAAACATGATCAATGGCATATCTAAATGAATAAGATGATCAATTTATTATAGTTTAATTTTTTGAAGGCTATAATTGCCTAGTGATCACATAACTTTATAGGAAGTAATTGGTCAATTAGTTTGGACATTGTAAATGGGTGTGTTTTTTTAGCAGTTGGATGAGGTTATTTTGGGAAAACCCATAGACTTAGAGATTCCCGGAGAAAAGTAGGGTGAGAGTTTATGATAGTTCATTTATTGAAGTATATTTATGCATTTGGTGGTTGGCTCATAATAGCGAATCATCAATAACCTTTTGAAGAATGAGAGTGTGTCTCAAAAGATATAACAAATGGCCTTATTAGAGTTTGCAATAGTTCAAAAGGAATGTGCAAGCAGATACAGCCAAATATAATAGGTGTAATAGGAAAAAGGGATTGTCATGGATATTCAATCTAAAAGGGAGTGACATCACAAAGAACCATAGATGGCATATGATTAATAATATTACTTGCAGTCAAAGCCACATATCCCTAGGATTGATAAGAAACATTCATACAGAACATTATAGTTTGGGCTACATTTAGCAAATGGCATATGTTAGTCAATTGAGTACCTAATTCAGATGTATTTAATAACAACTAGGCCATTTAAATGGATATGCCAAGGGCCTAAGTTGGATCTTTATCATCTTTAGTTGATCTAAAGATCATGATGATTCATCACCGCAATATACATGTTAATACATATTTATATGGAAAACTAAAATAAACTAATTTTATTAAACAACTTTTGTTGTTTACTGGATGGGTTTTTAATATTCATGGTATGTCTTATTCCAATATTTGAATCGTAAGTCTTATATGTAGGAATGTCAAAAGCTGGGATTGTAAGTCCCAACATTTTGGGCAAGTTACAAATAGAGTAATAAATTTTTTTGATTTTAAATCAAGTAAATTTTAAACATTAAATATTATTTAAGAGCCTTAATTGTGTATCTTTAAAAACGTAATTTTAAACAATAATATTACTTGCAATTAAAGCAACATATCCCTATAGTTGATGAGAAACACCCATACGAAACATTAAAGTTTGGGCTACATTTAAAATGTCGCATGTTAGTCAATTGAGTACCAACTAAATTTACAACATGCTCATAGTGTAAGCTACAACTCAATCTAAACTCGGGCCATCTCCCATGCTAATAAATTTACTAATTATGAGCAAATTCATCAATTAAACCAAACCCATAAAAAAGCTCATATGTTTTAGACACGTTTCATTGAACCATACTGAGAATAACTGATGAAGATGGTATCATTCTATTTCTTGCAAGTCATGTCCAATTTTTATGAATTGTAAGCAGCCTTATTTTGTCTCTGAGTGTTGTAAGTTTGTTACTAGTGAAAAGTTGATGCCAACCTAGAAAGAACACCATTAACACATAAATTTTCACCCCACTCTGCTCGAGATATCTGAGAGGAGGCAACTAATGATTGCTAATCAGACTCTTTGGACGCTAGACTCGAGTTACTTTGGCGATTGCTAATTGGGTTGACTAGTATGACTGGAATGATAGAAACATGAGATCTTAATCATATTTATCTTAACTTCTATGTCATATATTAGGATATTAAAGTTTATGAAATCAAAGATATTTTCGGAACAAGCTTCCCTCAAAGATACTTTTAGTTATAAGATTCTTGATTTTTATAGCAAAGGTAATATCTTGAAAGGTGAAGTATTTTTTAGAGTTTTGGTGGTAACACTTACCCTTTTTAGCTCAAAGTGTATCATGGAAGATGCAATTTAGGGCTCTTTGATCAAGCTTAATGTTTTATAGCTTTGACTTATATTGATGTATGTAATATTCCTAAAAGATTTTTGTAGGAGTTGTGAGTGATCATGTTAGGGAAAAAACTTGTGAGGATTTCAGTAGGTGCTCTCAAAAAAATTCTATGCCACATCTAGGTGGGGCTATTTGACATACCCTTTCAGAGTAGGGTCCTAGTGATCTCAATAAGTAGCAAATTTTTATTCATATTACCCTAGTTTATTGTGGAGTCTCAGTATACATGGGATTCAAGGATTATGCCTTTTTATGGCAGGAAAAAGAATAGGGTTGGATTGATATATCTTTTTCATCATCAAATATAATGTGTTAAATATTAGTGTAAATTGAGTAAGGGTTTTCTTATGGAACATGGGACATATTACATATTATACTAGTTTAGGTTTTTCTTGAGTGACTTCCTTCCCTTGCAATTAATGGAAGAATAATTGCTGGTTGTGCCTCTGTTTTGCCAACTAGAGTTGGAGGTGGGAGATGCTAATAAAATATTTTCAAAATGCGCTGACACCATAAATAGAAAGTTTGTAATTTTATGTATATCTTTTTTGAGAAAATATATCTTGATTTCTATTACGAGATTGTATGTTACACAAGGCAATTCTTCCTCTAGAAACAACTAATTACATTGTAATCCCTTGACAATTTTTGCTAGGATAGAACATACAAGATATTAAATAAATTTTTTTAGATGGACATGTGAGAATATGGAAGCAAATTACTTCTTTTAGGATCCAGAATGCAGTTCATGGATCTTAAACCTAAAATTCCTCTCAGATTTGTGATCCATATCAGTATAAGATTGTTACAGATGAGGATTTATGAAACGGACCTCAATGCAAATATGAATGCTTTCAACCTCTCATAATTTGCAGAACGAACAAATGATTTGCTTTTGCTGATATGTATGATCAATGCTGCTCTTTTTGAACAGAGGAAATGGACGTGGTCGTTCAGTTTTATGATGGTAAACCAACATCAGGATCCGTCCCTCAGAGGTTAACATGCACTGTTGTTCAAGCGCAACCACACTCGAAGGGGTTAACAGCTGCTCCTCAGTAAGTCCATGTTGGTTCTATAAAGCCCATTTGTTTCAATTTGTTTATTATTATTATTATTATTGGTTTATGAGTGCTCCCTGCATTTTCCATTAGAATTTTAACATCCGCTGGTCGCTTATGAACATAGTCATTGGATGATATTAAGAAGTTGCTTTTGAATTTTGAGGAAAGGATGGTGAGTTCCACTCGTATCTTGGTACTTTTTCCGACACATTAAGCTAACTAAGAGTGGATATGATCATATCTCCTTTAAGAAAAAAATTAAGGTATTTGACATGCAATTTAGTTGTTTGCCATTTAGATTATTGTTACAGTGAGGCCATTGAAACTTTAAACTTGAATCAAATTTGATGAACGGTAAAATGATTTTTTATGTTGATAGAATTATAATAGAGATTATTTTTTGAAGAGAAAAACTATTGTCTTGTTAGTACCATATGAAGTACATTAAGATAGCATGTATATATATATATATATATATAT